TAGCGAATATAACGAATATAAAAGGATATAAAACGCAATTGACCGAAATATGCAGGAAAATAAAAATTGTAGAGCATTAAAACCACTCCTACCTATAAACCTAAACATTTCTGTACAGTATAAGAAAAACATGACAGACAGATGCCATTACAATCATTTATTTATTGCAAAAATGTCAAAAGCAGTACCAAAAGTAATCCAAATGACGATGCGTTGCAGCCGCGGTCCTCTCTGGTGGAATACAGTAGGTTTGTGTGAGCCAGAGCAGAATTTGTTGTTTATTGCTGAAAATATTATCCAGATTATTTTCCCGATCCACTCCGTGAACTCGTGAAGGAGCGAGCGTATCATTCAAACACACCTCACCAGAAACACTGCATGTCACAATCTATGACGAATGCAGGCGAGAGCCAATGAGCATTTGATTATCTTGCAGTAAAACCTGTCGTTTGAAGTGGCAACATTTGAATTTGTAAAGAGCGCGTCAGTCAGCGCGGGCTTTGCTGCTCACGGTCACTGGACTCGCTGCTCGGGATGGAGATGAAGATCGCCGAATAAAGGCTTGGATTTGGGTCTGTTCCTCGCAGTCCTATGGATTCGGAAGATTTGGATTACAGCGCATTAATAAAATTGTTTCATTTCGTTATTATGTTGCGTTTTTGGTGTATTTTATAGTTCTATTGTCAGTCACAGCATGTCGGAGAAAACGCCTTTTTTTCCCATGGCCCATGGCAAACAAAGTAAACATTACATGACAAGTAAAGGTTAAACGATTGCAGAAATGTTATTTATTTTAAGGTTTAAAGTGAAGTCGTGTTTAACATTATGTAGGCATATTCTTGGAAACGAGCTGGCAGCAGAAATCACACAACAAAATGAAATGTTATCATTTTATATTAAGCAAACGAGTAAACAATTTAATAATGCAATTGACAACAAGGTAATTGATATGACAACTAAAAACAACTAATAATAAAATTAATGCCGCGATTTCAATATTCATAAGGATTCATTTTTAGGTGTCAATACGTCAGTTTTGTACATTTAGATGCTGAAAATACGTCAGTATTGTACGTTTTAGTGCCTGTAAAAACATAAGTGTACGTTTTATAGAAGCACATTTTACGTAAAATAAATACGAATTATCATGAGATCACATTGAATACTAACAGCTAAGTTACCTGTGCAGCTGAAATATAATTCTAACAATCATAAAGCAATTTCAAACACTATTTTAAATTACCTTATACACCATGGTATCTAAAGCAATCTCACTGTTGCTTCCTGTCATAAAATGATTGCAATGTGTGTAGGCTAGAATATACTAAATTAATCAATTAAGTTATAAACTAGGTTGAACAAAGTAGCCGTGT